GGCTCTGTTCCATGATTTGCCTTCATGTTAGCACGATGGCCAACACCATAGCCCTGGTATGGGGCAAGCCCACAGTCAACCTTGCAATGACCCTTGAAGCTTCTGTGCAGAGGTGTTCCATGTCACATCTCCTTACAACTCATAAACTGCAGCAAATCACATGGCCAGATCAACCTCACTGGGATGGAGAAGTATATTTATTCCCATAGAGGGAGTCTTGCAAGTCCCAGGTAGCCACACCAGAAGTATAAGCCTCCTTCAAAGTCAGGGTGTGAGAATTTGAGACAATAACAGCATCTGCTACAAGACTAGAAATAAATAATAAGCAGCATCTAGAATAGAGATATAGATATAAATGTGATAATCAGCAGTGTGCAAGTTGCAGTTGAAGCCATGGAACATATAAAATCACTGACATTTTTTACTTACAAGAAGAAAAATGTCAGGCCCAGGATTTAACTCAGTGATTCCACCGCTTGCCTCACAAGTGCAAGGACCTGAATTCGATCCCCAGTACCAAAAAAAAAAAAAAAGAAGAAGAAGAAGAAAAATGTCAAAAATAAGCTATTCTCTTTTATGCTTGCATATTTACCATCTCACCATGGCTCATAATGTTTCCTTATCTAGAATGTCTTGTCTGTCACTCCCAGATCTCAGATTTTTATAACAGATTGTATAGTTTTATTGTCCAGTTGATTGCTTTTCCATTATGAAAGGCAAAGTGGTTCCCAAAGGCTTTTTCAACTTTTCTTTCCTTTTACTGTCCTGTACTGCCAATGGGTAAGCAGGGGGTATAATCTCAGTTTACTTGTGATCCCTAAATGCCTCCAGGACATTTGAGTTATTCATTCAGACCAGAAATGGGATCTGCCAGGAGGCTGCTCCTGCAGAACAAACTTGCTATTCCTGGGCAACAGCTTTGCTTTCTACCTATTATAAAGTCTAGTATTTCAACTTTCCACCAACTCTGTTAGATCTTAATATCCTTAGGATTAAGCTTATTTTCCTTAAATTAGTTTAAGTTGACATTTCAGGCTGCCACTACAAAATGTCAAAAGGTTAAACAACAGAAATTTTATTTTGTCACAATTACGAAGGCTGGAAGTCTGAGATCAGGATGGGCAACAGTGCTCTTCCTGGCTTGCAGATGGCTGCCTCCTTGCATGGCAAAGGGTCCTCACATGGCAAAGAGAGGATTTCTCTCCCTATCCCTCCCTCTCTCTCTCTCTCCCCATCCACCTCTTTCTCTGTCTCCTTCCCTCTTTCCTTCCCTCCCTCCCTCTCTCTCCCATAAGGCCACAATGGGAGCCAATCAAAAGAATTCCAAGAGCCAGACATGGCGCACACATGTAATCCCAGCATTTCAGAAGCTGAGGCAAGAGGACTGCAAGTCTGAGGTCAGCCTAAACTACATCTGTCCTGAGTATCTTTATGATGTGTGATAAGAAAGGGACCGGGGAATAAGGGGAAGACTGAAGGAATGAAAAGAGAAGGAAAAAGAATCAAGACATGATATGCATACGTGCCAATTCCCCATGACGAAGGTGTATATTATGTATCGAAAACATCCTAATAAAAGGTAAAGGAAAAAGCAAACAAACAAAAACCCCCAATACCTGCAATTTAAAAGAAAACAAAAAAATAATCAGTGACTGCTGCAGCTCAGTGCCATCCAGTGGAAAGGCAGGTTAACCTTATTCATAGGGTCTGACATCACGCAATTTCGCTTCCCCAAGGTCAAAATGACCACAAAAGGTAAATGTTTTGAATTGATTCAGAGCACTGAGGCAGGCATGCAGCTCAAATAAGTCACACTCAAAAGAGAATTTTCAGAGCTGCTTCAGAATTTTGCAAAAACGATGAGATAAATATGTTCAAAGGGGCAATATCTTTGAGGGGGATTCATGGCAATGTCTTTAATAAATTTTTAAAATGTAAACCTTCACTGTGTTTTTAGATCAAACCTTGTAAGTGGGCATAAACATGTTTGCTGGAAGAAAGATTTGTCTGAATTAAGAATTTTGTGGCCAAAAGGACCTATGGGCAACTATCTGCCAATGTATCAAGGATCCCTATGCAATAGTGTCTCACTAACCAGATGTAGAAATACAAATTATAGCTGATATTCTGAAATAGCAAAGCTCTTCTTTCTCATTCTACTTTCCAAGATTGTTTGCGTTTCTAAGTTTTAGAAGTAAAATGTGTTGCTTCGTTTGATTAGTATGTTGATTCAACCACTGTATTGCTGCATTTTAGTAAGGCCAGAGTCAGCTCAGGCTGTTTGGAGCCAAACAACCACAAGTGATCTGGCTCCATGATCCTTCTGCCTCAGCCTCCTGAGTGCTGGGATTACAGGCTAGGTACCACTGTTCCTGGCAGAGCTTGGGCCTTCTGATCCTGGGAAAGCACAGAGTAGGCTGGTATTCCATCATCACTTTTCAGAGCCCAAGAATATAAATTGCTGTACTATTCCCTCACACACCTGCATAGTTGTAGCTATCATAGGTAATTTAGAGAGGCGGTAAACAAGTTCTTTTAGCACCCTTTATTAGTCTTATAGGCACCTTGCGATAGATAATTAAAGTGCAGCAGATGGATTGTCTTAGAGGAAAGCTACTTGTTTCTCTGGTTTATACTTTTTCTAGATTCATCGTTTTGAAGGTTCATTTATTTAGCATTTCCCTTTTGCCAGGTCTGATTTAAGTGCATCCTTCTCAAACAAACCAAATCAAAAAAGCTGCTTTCAGCAAACAGCAGCTTCCCAGTAAATAGGGCAAATGGACTTAAAATGTGATTTACAACACCCCGCCCCAGAAGTCCAGTAACTCTATACCCCCCTGAGAAGACTGTCCTTGGGCCTCCAAGTCATAAAAATTCCTTATGATTATAGCCCTTTCTCCAAATATATGTAAGTATAGTCTCCCCTCCCTGCGGGCTGCTATCTCTCTTTCCCAATATTAGCTCCTCCACTCATGGATGAAATATTACCCTACTAGGTGCTAGAATCTCCTGATTTTTGTCCCTGATTCTAGTCCCTGTTCACTGGAATAAACTTTCCTTTCAAAAGCTTATTTTGGACAAGTGGATTCTTTATAACACCTTTTATGTTTTTATTTTTATTTTTTATTTTTTTTTTGAACCGGGGATTGAACTTGGGTCCTTGTGTTGTGAGGCAGGTGGCAGAACCACTGAGCTAAATCCTCGGTCCTTATGTTCTTTTATAAATACAGCTTCTGGACATCTAGAAATTCAGGGACCATATGATAGATGAATCTGCCTCATTCCTCAGCAAGGAAGTTTTCCATTTCTTCATCTCCCATTGTAATCCCTCATCCAATCCCAAAGGCAAGAAAATTATTTGGAAGCAACAAATCTTACATTACAATTATGTTAGATATAGACACTTTCACTGGAATTCTGCCAGCATTCCTGTAGGGAAGAAAAATACAGTGTTCTCATTGCCACTTTCTTTTTTTAGAAGATTAATGTATATTTGGAATACATGGTATATACATTCATTTTTGGGAATTGGTGCATGTATGTAGAATATCTTTATTATTTCCAGGGCCAGGAATTTAGCTCAGTGGCACTGCACCTGCCTCGCCAGAGCAAGGTCCTGAGTTTGATCCTCAGTACCCGCCCCCCCAAAAAAAGTACATTATTTCCAATGCCGTTATCCTCCTCCCCCCATAAAGCAGTGAACAAAGAGTAGACTTTGTCCGTGCAAATTTTTGGAAATGCTTCTTATAATGTCCATGTACCACAAGCATCAGCATTGCTGGAAGCCTTGTTAAAATCAGTATTCTAAGCCCAATTCAAACCTATAAGAATGGAATCTTTGAGAGCAGGGTACTTGCAGGTGATGAATTTCATGTTCATTAAAGTTGATTTATTATCTCCGATTCCTTGAACAGAGGATTTGATACATGTAACTGTACATCTAAGAATGAAAATGTTAACATAAGCAATTCAGCTTATTCCTAGTGGCTGACATCACATATTCAGTAATTACTGGTCAAGTAAATGATCAGAAAAGAATATGAGTCATAGTCTTAAAACAGGAAGGTAATTTAGAGGTCATCATTTAGGAGGAAATATTTAACCACAATGGAATCTTGACTCAACTGGTTATCAGTGTTTGACCCCAACCAAATATACTTAACTTTTCTGGGCTCCAAAGTTCTCAGAGGTAACAAACATAGTAATATCTTACTTTCCTTTAAAGGCTAAATGAATTTAAAGTGCTTAGAACAATTCTTATCTGAAACTTTAAAAAGATGTTAATTGTTATTTAACTGTTTCCTAATCACTCTTTCTCCAGCAATTTTATTTATATTATTTGGCAGACAGGAAAAAGTCATCATTTTACAAATACCTCTCACTATATTACTTGGTCCTTCCTGTAAGGGCAGAAATGTCCACCACTGCAGTGACTTGTAAACCAGACAAGAAAACCTAGCACTTTCAGTAGTAAATCAAGCACCAAGGATGATCTGAAAATCATAAATTTCAGTTTCTGGGGTTTTTTTATTTTTTTTATTTTTTATTTTTTTTGGTACTGGGGATTGAACTCGGGTCCTTGTGCTTGCAAGGCAGGCCACCGTCAGTTTCTGTTTTTCTGTTAACCTTAGGCAAAGATTAGTGTGGCAGATTCCAAAAGCCTCTAGGGCTAAAGAAGAGGTTTGGAGAGGGGATTTCAGGAACACAAAATTTTTAATCCTGAAGATTATATAGTGGTTTTTCTGTGTTTCGCTTCTGTTTTACAGCTTGTTTTAAACCAAAGGCACCAAGTTCCTTCCTGAGATAACCAAAGTGCAGAAAGGAGTGACTGGAGTGATCACGGATCCGGGTATTCCAGAGGAAGGACAAACTCCCAGTTTTCATTCTCCCTTTCTCACAATCTCTGCAGCGCAGTGGGGGTGGAGTTCGTGCGGCCATGAAACTTTTTTCAGGTTTCTTGTCAAGTAATTAAAAAACAAACTTCCTTGTTCCCTCACAGGAGAAGAATTCACGACAGAAACACTTCTGTTCTGAGCACTTTGTTATGCGAAGGTGTCTTTTGCACGTCAGCTCTGAAGAAAAGAGAAGGGTGGATGTGGAAGTAGGATGAAGTAAGAAGTCATGAAAGTCCAAATCAAAGGTAGGGACAGGGCGGAAGGAAGAGAGCGACTGGGGTGGAGGTGAGGCTGTCTTCCACCGTCTAGGAAGCCTCCAAGTGGAAGGGGCTGAGAAGAGTAGGAGCGGGAGGGAGTTCAGAGGCAAACTGGCCTAAGGCTGAACCTGTTTCCAGATCTCCGGGGCGGGGAGCCCCAGACCGCGGCAGAGGCCACACCCAGGAACCAGTCCCGCGCTTGGGAGAGAGGCGCTAGAGATCGCTGCGTGCCCGGTGGAGAGGAGGAAGGAATGGACGACCCCCTAGCCAGGATGGGGACCCCGAAAGGTGCGAGCGGATCGCCCTCCCAGTCCGGAGCAGGCGGGACCCTCTCTGCCCCACGTGGGACGCCCGTCCAGTCCCCGGCTTCTGGCGCCCCAAGACCTGAACCTGCAGAGGCGAGCGGAGGCCTGGGCGGCACCCACGAGGAGC